TGGTGGTGGTAATAGTAGTAGTAGCAGTAGTAGTAGTAGCAGTAGTAGTAGTAGCAGTAGTAGTAGTAGTAGTAGTAGCTGTAGCAGTAGCAGTAGCAGTAGCAGTAGCAGCAGTAGCAGCAACAGCAGCAGCAGCAGCAGCAGAAGTAGCAGCGGCAGCAGTAGCAGTAGCCGTAGTACCAGTAGCAGTACATGTGGAAGAAGTCGCGGTCGTAGTAGCAGCAGCAGCAACAGTAGTTGTAGCAGTTGTGTTTGCAGTAGTAGCTTCAGGGCATCCGGCACTCAGCTTTCAGGATCTTTTTGGCCCCTGACTTTGTGATTCTCTTCTGGTATCTGCTTGTTTGGCTCCACTTCTTCGGGCCGCCTCGCCGTTCAGAAACGGTATCCTTGGCTGCACTATAGACAAACTTCAGAAGTATGGCGAATGTCATGTCGGTGCGACGGCAACAACTAGTCTATGGTGCCAAGCCATTGTTCAAATAGGGACAACTGACCTGCGTGTGCTGGCCAGCCTAGCCGTCATATTAGTAATATCCGTTGCCGTGGTCGACGTCGTTATGATGATCATCATCATCATGTGCATCACAACTGCTGCATCGGAAAATCCATGGCCATAAGTTGGACCACAACAACCATCATCGTTATCATAATCGTCATCTTTTACCTTGTCGTCATCCCCAACCTCGTCACGAGCATCAACCTTTATCGTACTAGTGGGGCAAAGTCTTCCGGGCCTCAAGATTCTGGCGTGTAAGCCATGAGAATCAGAAACGGAAGCCACTAAATCGACTCAGGTGCTGCGAGGGCCTGGCCGAGCCCTGGGTCTGCAAGCAACATGGCAGGCCGCCCCCGTGTTGATCAGGCATGCCAGCACGTGACGCATGTGAGATTGGACACCTGAAGAAGAAGGTAGCTGTTGCGTCTGCGGCCGCGGAGGGTGTGTCGTTTGTTTTGTGAGTTTTTTTGGCCAAGAGCCTGAAAACCTCGAGTTTCGTGTGGTTTTCGTGAACAAGAGGATGTTTTGCCCCTTGGTGTTTCACCGTGTTTTGTTCTGTTATTGTTACAAACGTGTCGTAAGTGCTCGGTTATCGTTGTTTGTTGCTTGAGTTGTGCGTACGTTGTTGAAGTTTCTGTTTGGAAAGCCCACGAGACGCGAGACTTTTATAGTGGGGGAGGGGGGCGTCTGACAAGTAACAGGAAAACAGCAGCAACAGTCAGCAACATTGTCATTGCCGTTGTTATCATCATAGTTATCGTCATCGCAAACGTTATCCTCCGCATGATCATTATCATCATGATCATCATACTTACCAACAACATCGTACTGAGGAGCATCAGCACCAGGAACTTCAGCATCATCATCATCATCCTCACCTTCGTCATCCCGGTCAAGGCAATCTCCTTTAGGAATACACCTTTGAATCTGGAGCTGGCAAGGTTCTTGGTAAAAAAACTGCGAAAACCACGGTTTTTGGGACTATTCCGCAAAACCACCCCTGCACGAAACAAAAAAAACACTCGATGCAAGCCGCATTCGCATGGACCTTATCACCCTCCCCCCTATCACCCTTCCCCCCCATCCCATCGCCCCCTCCCCACTCTTTGACGGAAGCACAAAGAAACACTGACACAGCAAGTCCAAAGAAGAACGCAGCCGACTTGCAAGCAACAAACGGAAACGGAGAAGCCACGGATGACTGCCATAGAAGTCCAAGCTGCCATGTTCGAAAAGTCGAGTTTTCGTCGCAGCGCAGCCCTGAAATCGAACATGTTTTTTGAGGAAAACACCGTGCAAAACCAAGGCGAACTGCAAAGTGCAGCTTTTTTGGTCTAGACTCGTGCCAAAACTCGAGTTTGGGCACATTGCAGCCCTAAAATTGCTCCACTCTCCGCGGCGGCAGACGCAACAACTGCCAACAACAACAACAACGACGACGACGACAACGACGACAACGACGACAGTGACAGCAACAGCAACCGCAGCAACCGCAGCAGCAGCAGCACCACCACCACCACCACCACCGCCGCCACCGCCAACGGCAACGGCAACCGCAACCGCAACGGCAACGGCAACAGCAACAGCACCACCACCACCACCACCACCACCAACAACAACAACAACACCAGCAACACCAGAAGCAACACCAGCACCAGCAGCAACACCCGCAGCAGCAGTAGCAGCAAGGCATGGCAATGGTATTTGTAAGGGGAGGAGGCGGACGAGGAGTACGAGGAGGAGAAGGTGCAGCGGCGGTGGCAGCAGTAGTAGTAGTAGTAGTAGTAGTAGTAGTAGTAGGAGAAGGAGAAGGAGAAGGAGAAGGAGAAGGAGAAGGAGAAGGAGAAGGAGAAGGAGAAGGAGAAGGAAGAGAAGTTTCACCAGAAGTAGAAGGAGCGCGAATGGGGTGGGTTTCGTAAGCTATATCGTTGGCAGCCTGCGTTAGCAGATGCCATTGCGTCATGGGCCATGAAGAATTAAGAACTCCACAGCCCAAGCCCGAAGTCCAAAATTTGTCATGCTGTGGTTTGAACCAGGTGAACTTCCAGGTGAACCTCTGCAGCATGTGCCGAGCCGCAAGACGTCGTCCATGTCTTCGACCTCCACTGTGGAGTGGGTAGAGAATTCCGCAGCTGATGTGCTTCGGCAGCAGCCTACACCTTCCGTCTCAAGCTACTCTTTCACATCCCTAGCTTGACTGCTTGCTGCCTGTTGTATCACAAGCCATAAAAGAAGTGCAAAAGTCCAACCATCTACAGTGGGAAACGTACAATGCCCGCAGCCTTCAGCTGGGTATTATGGTGCCCTGAGCAGCTTAGATTTCAGACTTCTGCCAAGACTACTAGCTGCACCTTTGGCTGCAGCCCCTTCTCAAAGGGTGTACAACAAGCGCATTGCAACTGGGGCAATAAAGGGGATCTGCTTCTAATTTCGGTCTTTTGCCGTTATCCCTTCTACAAACTCGACCAGTGTTGTCACTGCTGGGAGGTGTTATGGTTGCTGCTCATGATGACCTTGCTTGGATGGCCGCTGAAGTTCAATCGTGATGATGATCATGTCCATCGGGTTTTCTCTGTTCTAAGACACGATCGGTTTGTATAGCCAGCTTTGCTGTCACGGTCGTCGTCATCAGCAACAACATCGTCATCTTTATCGTCACCCACAGCAGGGTCGCCATCTTCTCCTTGCTAACATGCTCCTTGGTTCCTCGAAGCTGCGGGTGTGCTTTGGACGGCTATCTCCCTTCCAACTCCAACTCCGGGACTCCAAGCTCCCAGGCCTGCATGAGCTGCCACGCGCGATTCGGCGTGATGCAGCTTCGGCGGAAGCATCACTGCCGGAGGTGTGGGCAGGTGCGGAGCGGGTGGCGGTTTGGGTCCGTGCAAAATACCGTAGTTATAAGTCCTTCGATCCTGGTGCGGGGTGGATGCCCTTGGCATTTCAACGGATACGCATTGCTCCCGCATATGTATCCAAATTCCACAGCTGCTTTCTGGAAGCCACAAGACAAGGCATGACACCGAATATAAGTATAATTGCATATGTATGTATATATATATATACACACATATATCTTTCTATGTATGTATGTATATATATATATATATGCAGATATATAGATATGTATATATATATATATATGTATGTATGTATAAATATTTGTGTGCGTATGCCTGCAAACACGACGTGCACGTTCATGTTGACACTTGGCATATTTGCAGCCGGTGGTGCGATGATCGGTGGCATTGGCGATTGCATTCGCTGTGCAACTCTGTCTGTCTGTCTGTCTGTCTGTCTGTCTGTCTGTCTGTCTGTCTGTCTGTCTGTCTGTCTGTCTGTCTACAGATAAATTTCCCGTGCGTCATTGTATTTTTTGAAAAAAGGTGTCTGTTTTGCTTTCTTCTCGTTGCCTCCCTTTGTACTTGCCTAGTTATGTCTTCAAGGTACTGCTGCGGCTACGGCTCTAGGACTCTAGGCACTTCCAGAACAGGTCGTGTGCCGGGCATGCTCGAGTGCAAGGGAGATCGTGCCCGAGTACCATCCCATCAAGCCTCAGCGTGCCACTTGGCAGCCAGAGACGGCTAATCACCCAAATTGCACCTGCCGACACTGGGAACACAGCCCTGATCATTATCACGATCATGTTGCTTCCACAGCATCATCCTCATCGTCATATTCGCCAGCAAGATCAATGCTCTTCGCCATCATCAGCATCACCACCACCCCCCACCGTCGCCATCGTCACCATCACTGCCACAGGCATCACCATCATCGCCATCATAGTCTTCGTAGTCACCATCATCTTCTGCTTCTTCATCGCCGCCGCCACCACCATCACCAGCATCATCTCATTTGCGGCTCATCATGCAGCGTGGACAGATGCGTCTGACGCACTAGGCTCCGAACAGGAGGAATCCTCAACACTGCAATGGCAGTTGCCTCCAAGGCCGCCCCAACCCGTCAGAAGTCATCGGCCCCCATGTTCAGCCCAAAACCCTGAGCCCCAAAGGATCGCTGAAACAAATCTTTTTTGCAAAAAAGTGATCATACACCCTAACTCTCCAGCCTTCAGCCCTGATTCTGTCTGCCTCAACCAGGAAGCCGAAGCCCCCAAGCCCTCAGTGCCCAAACCCCTGAACCTTGATCCAAAAGCCTAAGAAGACCCTGCACCCCAAAACCATCCAAAACCGTCAAACCTGATCACCTCAAGAACACCACAAACCCTTGAAGCCACATATTAACCCCAAAACCCCCGAATCCTATGAGATCCGAATCCCCAGATCCCAGAGGTTTGCGTTGCTTGCGTCTCAGACCGAGCGGAGACTCAGGAGTCCGAGGAGGTACCCCTGCGACGGTTTAGGGTTGGGAGGTCCGAGGCAGCCTGGCGTTGGGGTGGGTTGGACGAATTATTTTCTGCCAAGGTAAGTGAAAACAAAGTGAATTGGACAAGTGATTTGGACTTTTCGTGCACCG